CAAAACATCCACGAAACAAAGAAAGGTCTGTCACAGCCAAAAAATACACTCCAGACACGCCGCTGGCACTAGAGGCACAGCATGGCCGCCTAGTAACGGCCCCGACCACTGCCGCTCGACCTGACCGGAAAAAACCGTAGTATATAATCACCGGATAACGGAACCAGACCCCGAGCCGCGCCTGTTTCCTTCCCCCCCGCCCCTTGCCCGGGCATCCACCCATCTAACGGCGGCGAAACAGAAAAAAAAAAAAAGAAGCAAAACTTAGGACATTTACGTGAAAAATGCAAATTATTAGCGCATATTTGATGCGCTCCTCCCATTGCAATATTACAGCGCTAAATGCTCGACTGACGTCTTAGTGAAGTGACTGGGTATTGCTCTCAATAAGTGCAATATTCAGGAGAATAGACTAATCAATGATAGACAATAGAATTTTTGTTTTTTATTCAGCCACTTTTTATGGGGAAAGCAATTCAAAAGAGACGGAATAAAAACAAATTATGATCGACGCGGATCTCATTGCTCGATCGCCATCGATTGATTGATTGATTGATTGATTGATTTAGTTCATCAACTCATCGATCAAGCTTTAGGCATGATCGATTTCGATCGATGTTGATCTCTCGTTGATCGACCGGCATCGGTAGATCTGATTGATTGATTGATTGATTGATTAATTAATTGATGACTTGATTGATTGATTTTGGATCATCAACTCATCGATCAATAACTTGATTAATTACTTGGATGACTTGATTGATTGATTTTGGCTCGATCGACTTTAGACGATGTGGAAATCATTGATCGACCGCCAGCAATGGATTACAAATTATTTGTTGAATGGCTGACCGGCATTGAGCGATCAAGCAGTCGACATTGATTGATTGCCAATTCATCAATCTAGAAGGACAGGAGGCATATTTCTTGCTTTGCCTTTATTACTTCTTTTTTTTCAAAATACAAGACCCGTAATTAATAATTCTTATGCTGACACCGGTCCCACCATCGATCATTACCCTTGATTAGTCATGCATCCGTCGATCGATCCATCCAATCAGATCCGGCAATCACCAACAACCAATCAATCTTGATTGATTGATTGATTGATTGATTGATTGATTGACTGATTGATTGATTAATGGACCAAATATCGCGGGATGGCGCTCTCCAGAGCTCAGCATTCAAAACAACAATTGCTCTGACAATGTCAGCAACTGCACAAGATTGATTGATTGATCGATTGATTGATTGATTGATTGATTGATTGATTGACTGATTCATTGGTTGGTTGATTGGTTGATTGGTTGATTTATCGGTTGATTGGTTGATAGGTATGGTACATTCATTGATAGGTATGATCGACTATTTGATGATTGATTGATTGATTGATTGATTGATTGAATGGCTCCGTGCTCGCACTGTATAGCGACGTGGAGCCAGTCCCGTTCCGGACTATAGGTTACTGGATTGATTGATTTACGACACATACATATATGCAGATAATTTCATCCACTTTACGAAATTGATTGATTGATTGATTGGACTGATTAGCCGACACGGATAGCGTTAATCGTCGATCATTGATCTATTGATTTGTTGGCTGGTTGATATACATCAATCAACAACCATGAACTAGGCTGATCGACCGTCTTAACGATTGAGCAGAACTCACCGATTGACAACGCGGCACCTGGTTGATATTTGATTGGCTTGCCAATTTACTTACCCCTTGATTGATCCGATTGCTTGATCGATTGCTGCTGTGAATGGACTTCGTCAATTCGCTGATCGATTGATGATTGGTCGAGTGATTGATCGAGTCCAGGGATCGACGGCCTCATCGACTTCGTCGATTCACTGCTCGATTGCTCGATTGCTCCATTGGTCGATTGCTCGATTGATTGCTCGATTGGTCGATTGCTCGATTGATTGATT